ATAAGGTCCTCCAGGGTTTGGAGGTCAGCCTTGAACCAGAGGGTAACCTATGGGTGAAGTCCTGCACAGGCTGAACATCAGCCTCGGTAGTGCTCAGCTCAGGGCCCAAAACACCTGAGCAAATTTGGGAGCTGCAAGAGCAGGGGTGCACCACCATAGCAAGCCAGAAGCCAAAGGTGACAGCAAGGCAAGCAGGGGTAGAGAGCTCACCGCAAGCAGCATGGCTCCACAGGACCCAAATGAGAGGACCAGAGCAGGTCTGGTGGCACTGACCAGGAACAACCACAATCCAGATCCTCAGCTAAGTCCACAGTCACACAGCAGGTCCACAGCTAGGACATCAAGAGCTACAAGCACAAGTCCACTGCACACCCACTGTAGCTCAAACAAGGATCAAAACAAATGGCCTCAGCTTAAATGCAGCTCCTGTGCCAAGGGGTGGAGGGTGTGTGGGTGGGGGCCCCACATGAGCCCGGTCAGGGCAATTAGCGCTCTCAGGGCTAACTAACATGGAACACTAATGTGGGCAGGGTGGGACATACTCTCTTCACAGTCCGAAGAGGCTGTGGTATCATGCAGTGAATCACGAACACCCTAGTGATGCATTAAGAAGTGAAAGGTTAAATGAATCTTGCCAAACCAAGCTTTTGTCTTGTTGCTTAAAATTGCTGTATCACTATATAGACGGTTTGCCTGTGCTGTCATCGACAGAGGGCCAGAACGGATACAATCCCCCCTGCCAACTCAAAAGGCTTCAAAAGCCATCAAATTTAGGTGGAGTCACTCCTTTTCCGTACAGTCCGGACCCTCTGTTGTTGCCCCTGTCTAAAAAAGGTTCTTGCAACCAAGATACAGCACAGTAGTCTCTCCTATCACCGTTGGGAAAGAAGAGGCAGCCTCTGTCCTTGCCATACCCACAGAGCATGTCTGGCCCTGAGCCCACAGTCCACCTTGTCTCCCATCCTCTCAAAATAAGCATTCAGCAATCCAGTAGGAAAGGGGAGGAGAGGAAAGGGGAGATGACCTGTGCTGGACTGAGCTTTCCTTGTGCTCCTACTGCCTCACTTGTCACCTCTGCCCTCTCTGCATACATTCTGCATTGCCTCCTGCTCTCTCACAGGGTCCTGGGCATTCTCTGTAATGCTTTTTTGAACCCTACGCATAACTTACAAAACTCATATTTACCTTTCGAATTGTCCTCCCTTTTGTCAGAACACAATCTTTTACCTTGGGCTTTCTGGAGGATCTGTTTCAGGAAAATAACATCACACAGATGATGTTACTTAGAACAACAGATAAACATTAATTCCATATGTAATGCCAATTCACACACCGCATGTGAGCTTGCGAGAGAGGCTGTGGGAGGCGAGGCTGACCAGCTCTCACACAGCTACAGCGCAGGGAGCAGCGCCAGCCCCTGCCCCAGGAAAACACAGCCAGGAGGGGAACCCTCATGCCTTTGCCACTTCTGCCAAGACTCCCAACAAGCCCATATTCTTCAGAAATCCCATACACGTTTCACCTTGGGATAGAAATGTTTCTTTTCTCATCATCTCGAGCTAGACCTTAACACCGATGCGGCAAAGTGCTCCATCTGCAATGCATCTCCTGGATGATGAAAGGTAATTGGCTGTAACACAATTCATTTTGGATTACTGGTGAGAGAGCTATTATTTCTGTAAAGTAATGGATTATTTCCACATTCTTAATCCACAAGGCACCTTGGGATTGCCCTGGATAAGGAATGAGTAGGGATTTCAGTATGTGGCTCACCGTTTGTAGATGTGACTGGCATCATTTTAGGAGCAGAACCCTCATTTTGCTCTCTCCGGAAAATCTGCAGCTGTATGCCAGTGTAGTAACACTGTCCGGGGTGGAGCTACTTATTTCCAACTCAAATTTCCTTAAATTAGGAAATCAAGCCCTTCAACTTCCCAGGGTTGTCCCCAGATTTCACACGTCTGAGTCACACGTGTTTATAACACATCGCACACTCCATCAGATCATGTTTTAGTTTTGCATTTTAGGACACCGAGCACATGGATGAATTGTAACTGGTAATATCAAGAAGGGGATGGGCAGGGTACTGGGAGAGATACAATCAGTTATCTATACCTGGAGATTAAAGACTGATTCTAACAGTGACATCATCCCATGACATAAATAATAACTCATGAGTAAATAATAGCAACCTCTGAGGTTGTGAAAGCCTTTTAGGCAGGAAAGTTTTGTATAAGGCCTACAATAACCTTCTCCTAAGGGCCAGCAGGTGTCAGCAGAAAACACAGAATTAAATAATACCTTACTCCAGCACAGCAGACAAGCCAGATAATCAAAATGCCAGTGCAGGAGCAGAGCAGGATTTTCCCTCTGATCCCCCCAAAGCCTTCCTCACCCTCATCATATTCCCTCTCATCTGGTTTCTGACTAGTGCCAGAGAGCAAGGGGTCAGTTGTTCTGCCAGCAATACCACCAAGGAGAGGAAAAAGGGTATCCCATGGAGACTCGGTGCTGGATGTGGGACACGGGGCTGTCCCCTCTCCAAAGGACGAGCATTTCCGCATTTGGAGCAGCCCCTCGGCAACCCGTTGTCCAGCAGACCATCTCAGGAAGCCCCAGCATGTCGGTCACCTGCGGAGCCACATTGATGATGGCATGGCAAAGTGGCCTCTTTTCTGCCCGTTAAGTCCTTCAGCTGCAATTTGGGGAAAGCCAGAGTGCCCTCAGGTCCTGTTGGTCTGTAGTGTTTTGGGGATGCTGGCTGGGATTCATCTCCTCTCACTTGACCTGTG